CCCACTGGTAGTCCCGGTACTAACTAAGATGATTTTGATTATGCAAAAACTGGACTTTTGAGCTTCTATATACTTTTATGTTCTTTGCTTGGCAACGGTGGAACAGCTCATGCCACAGTATTCGGTCAGACGCCGTACGGATCATTGCAGATTTAGAGTGGTGTTTTGCAACTATCAAATTTAAAATTCAGCAAAGTCGAGTTCGAAGATATTCTTAAATTTTCATGTCAATTTTGTAGTTCGTTTTTACATAGAGAATGTTCAAAAATCTCATACGTCCACGTTCATCAAAACGATCGGCACTTGATAGTATTTCTATTTGCACGAAATCTTCATTTATTTCTAAATTGTTTCCTTTTTGACCAGGTATTATACTAATTTAAAGAGAGGGAAAGATAGAGAGAGAGAGAGAGAAAAATAAAAAAATAAATGTAAATTATAATTGAAATTATCGTGTAACATTAGTTGGTGAATCAATAAGTAATATAGAAGTGATAAACGGTGTGCGTGTGACGTACGATATTACCGATCGGGTCAAGGAGAGTGATTTTAGTTGGAAATTTAACTGACAGGCGGCGAGCGCATGTGCCTCCTTTGTGTTAGTGATTGTTTGTGTGTTTGTCGGGCTGTGTGAAGCAACGAGGAGGCCTTTGTAACGTGACGTTTTCAAGGTAGGTGCTTAAGAAAGGAGAAACTGGAGAGAGTTCGTAAACTGTATTTACTTAAAAGTAGAACAAGTTATCATTGAAACAAAAGAAAAAGATACAGGAAAAAAATAATGACATTTTTACAGGCAAATATGGCGAATTTAATCGAATCAAATTATTATTTTATGCAGCAACAAAAAATTATATATATATGTATGTTCTGTTTAGTTCAATAATTTGAACAAATTTAATTTCGTATTCTTTCTTAAAAATATCGTTTTATGTTTAAAAAATAAAAAGCTATTGACTTGTTGGAATTAAATTACTTAGATAGAGTTACAAAGATAAGATTTATTTGACAAAGCAACATATATATATATATATATATATATAATTACGCACGCAAGAGACATGACGTTCTAGCATCAGCGTTATATGAACCATGCGATAATATTACTATCTATCTTATTATATATCCCTAATTATTTGCAGATATAATATTGATTTAATTCATAATGTCGAGACGATTAAAATTGCCGAAAAGAATATCAAATATGTTCTGTGAATTATCAACAAGTATGAATCATCTATTCTTATTTGTTGTTTATCTTATTATTTCATAATAACGATAGTCATTATGAAATATCAACCCGACATAATTAAACTATATGAAAATAAATATTAAAAGAAAAAACTGTGCGAACTTTGATTATAAAAGTAAGTCAAAAGTTCTTAGGTGATTTTAAAAATGAATTACTTATTTTTGTGACATTTCATGCTAGTAGTTAGTCTTGTAATTTTACCAGTTGAGCTTTTAATTATACAATATAAGAATAAAAACATTATCCTAAAAAGTTTATTAAGAAAAGATGAATGGATTTTAAAAATCATTTATGTATTTTTGATCTCTGCCTAGGAACTTTTAGTCCACCTAGGAATTTTTGGCACACCTTGTATTTAAAAAAAGTAAAATAATAGATAGAAAACTTATCAAAGAATTGTAATTTTTGTATCGCGAATTAGGGAAAAAGAAGGTAATGGAATAAACGGGCACGCGCGGAAGATTATATTAATAGATTGAAAATAAGATTGGAAAGTAATTTTTAAACGCCAGTCATCTTACTGTCTAGTAATGCTGGTTGTTTGGCAAGGAGCCCGCCGTTGCCTGAGTTGCAGCGGGCAGCTCACCAATCAAGGCTGCCAACTAGGCCAGCATCGTCATCATTGTGGGCCAATCGCGGACAAGCTCGATCGGTATCAACTCGTCGATACCCGGTGAGTAGTGATATTTGTGCTTGATCATTTTTATACCGAGATCATAATAAAAATAATCATAATCGGGGATCGGTATAATTATTCAAATTAGAAAGATAAAATAAAAGGAAATTAATCGAACCCATGAAGAGATTGGAGAAAAAGCAATTAAAAAAGAAAAGGAGAAGCAAAATAAAACATTAGGAAAATTTTGTATCGAACGTTGTTGCGTTATTTCTTTTTATTTTAAATATTATTACATAGAAATGATGATGACTTCAACCTGATCTAATCTGATAATAGATTATTGATACTGTAATCTTGTCAGCTATTTTTATGTGCATCGTAAATGTGTAAGAAGAAAAGGATAGGAGGTTTATTTCATGTCAATGTACTGCACGAGGTCGGCCGATTCTTTTTGCCATTTATTGACCTAAGCAAATTGATCTCCGTTCCTCTATCGTGGAAAAGTTTGACGGTCATTAAGGCCGTCGTCCATGATCCGTCGACCCGTATCTTTAGACAGACGACTTATTTGCAATAAGTCTAATAATAAGTGACAATATGTATTATTTCCTCGATAATAAGTTTTAATTTAGAAAGAAAGAACTTCAGATTTCGGACATTTTATTTTTGATTTTGCTTACATTTCACATTATTATAAATTATTATATATAGGCATAAAAAAAAAACTCAAATTTTTCATGTTTAACCATTCGCTTGAAAAATGTAATATCGATTAATTAGATTAGGTATTCAAATATTCGCGCACTTTTTTATACATGGCAACTAGCATATATGAAATATTCGATTACACGCGTAATTGAAGCTAGATAAATTGGAGTAAAAGATAGAAAAGTTATCTAAACTCATTCTAAATTAATAAAATAAATAATATGCATTTATATATATAGATAATATTAATTATCGAGAGTAGTATAGATGACATTGAAAATAAATGAGAACCACTGTTATAAGTGATACGCCAATTGCTTAGCAGTAATAATCACGTGACCATACATTCCGTTATCGCCTGATGTAATAAAGTGGCGCCGAATTTAATACTTAAATTTTAAATTGATAAAAAGAAATAAGATCGAATATCGTAACTCTAAATGAGAAAGAAACAAAATAAATAAAATGAGATAAACAAAGTAATTGGAAATTTACTAGAATTTATTACGGAATATACTTAATATCTTAAGAGAAAGGAGAGAAAGAGATATACGAAATTTAGACATCTCATTGTCAGAGAGAAACAAATTAAAATTCTGAAATCACGCCATTTGTGGCGTTAATCTCGCGCAAAAGAGTACAATTTCCACTTCAATATCTACTTTTTATTTTTACTTTTTTCCTTTCTTTTTTCTTTACTCTGATAGAATGAAGATATAAAAAAAGAAATAGATAAATACAAGTCAGAGTTGCAAAAGAGAGAGAGTAAGAAGATACGGTCACCGGAAGATAACATTCAATAAAGAACAATTAGTGTTGATTATAATCAAATGAATAAAAATAGGAATGAATAAAAAAGTGAAACGTGTAGTCTGACTGCCGAACAGAAAGAAAAAGCTAAATTCGTTGATATTTGAGCGTAATGACATTATAATGCTATCAAAAAATATCGTCGCGTGGTTCACGGTCAAGTGTAAAACCTGCTTTGCTTCAAATCACTTCGTCAGTTGACTAACGAACATCGGAGCGTTCGCATCTCTTTTTACGTTGCTTTATTATACATTTTTTTCTTCGTGTATATTCATCGTGTATATCATATTTATAAATACATATATAGTATTTGTAGTCACGCGATACGTGTACATATGTTCGAAATTTTTTTTATTTTATTTAATCGATTTTCGGTCAGTATTCTCGCGTCAAATATGTACTTTGATTTTGATATTTAATTTTATTTTATTTTACATTTAAAATTTATATTGATATCAACTTGGTGTACTACAGTAAAAAGAAATTCTTAGTAATTAAACGTTTATACACGAATCGTAGCATACTTCAAAATGGTTCGGCAATCATCGTTGATGTTTCGTTCGATTTGAGGATAATTTCTTGAGTGACAGTAGTGGAAGATCGAGATATCGAAGTGTTTTTCTTACTCTTTTATTATTTGATTTTTTTTTTAAGTTCGTAGAAAGTTAACAGTGAGAATAGGGTAATAATTAAATAGCCTTGATTTAAGTGTTAAGAAAAACAAGTGTTACTTGTATATAGATTTCGAGATGTATAATATTGTCATTATTGCTTCCTCTGCGTTGAATTAGTGTCGAGGTGAAGGACATCGTGTAAAAAGAGCGAAGGTCGTTCGTTCGAACGGTATGCACTTATGTATTGCATACTTCACTTTGTTGAAATGAGAAAGGATTAATACGCGTGTTTCGTTTATTTAATTATTTTTTATTTTGAAAACAATCATGCTCGAGTATTTTTTTTTTTTTTTGTTAATCTTTTATTATGTTAATTATTTGCAAGGAAATAATATATGCTACTTATTTTTTTTATTTGATACAATTTTGAATGATTATTTTGAGGTTTATTGTCAAAGTAAGATTCGTGCACGTTTGTATATATCCTCTTTAATTAAATCGAATTGTAGAGTATGTAGATAATGTAAGTTAAACATTGTTCTTGTTGAGGTAATCGTGGTGAATTAATCGATTCGAAAGCGAACTATACTCGTTCGAAAACTGCATCGATTTCTATTGTCATCGATCGATATTTCGTAAACATTCTTATATACTTCTATATACATATGTTATCTAGTAACAGGATCTAAGAAAACATATATTCGATCTATCGTTACCAAATAGAATTCAAAATTTAAAACGTAATAGAATTTTTGATAATTAATCAATTAATTAATCAATTAATTACATTTTTTTTATAAATATTTACATATAATTTTTCTTTACGATAGTAGATTTATTTTCTGATTAAAATACGTTGATTTTAATGCACGCAATTAGTGGGAAAAAAATGTATACTCAATTTTAATGACTTAATTAAGATTTAAGGATAAAACAATTGTATATATATATAAATATATTTGCAATGGCTGCTATATACGAGACGAAGGATGATTCGGCGAGTTGGCACGTGGTTATTCTCGGTTATCTTCGATATCGTTCGGACGTGTTCGTTCGTTGTCTGGCAGCAAGCCTCTTTGCACGTGTCCATGCTTTTACAATCAGTCAAACCAGTTTGTTCCGGGTCGTCAACGAGCATAGGTCAGTTGGAGGTGTTTTGTCGTTCATGATCGAGAACTAATACAAATTTTTTAAAAATACTTTTTTACATCGATATTATTCATTGATTCGATATTTATAATCAAATTCAAATTTTTTCCACGACTCAAATAGTGATAACGGAAGCCAATTAAAACGGTTGTTTTATTTATTTAGACGGGAAGTAAAAAGATTTACATATGACGAGGAAATTTGATTGGTTGGTTTTTCTTTCAAAATGGCGAACAAAAGAATCGTACACAAATTAAAGATAATATTTTAAAGTATTGTTCCATTTGGATAAGCGCGATAATAATTATATAATAAATACAAAAAAGAATGTTTTATTAATTGTTTATAAATATTATATAATTATATTAATTAGTTTATTAGAATTTAATTGTTTGATTCTTAAAATTAATTGTGTTCGTACTTTTAGACGCGTATCTTGTTCAGAGAAGAGTGAAGGCATTTATTGAAGAAGGAGGGTGAGGGAAAAATTGGATAGGGAAGGGGAGAGAGATGTTGACAGAAAGAGTGGGAGAGGAGAGCAGGTTTTGGTTAGGAAGAGAGGGCAAAAGAGAGTCAGTCTTGAATTGTTGGTGGTACATGGCTACACTCTACGAACAGTCATTTACGGTATTACGATACATCGTGCTGTGCGTGTTACGTTTTCATTTCTTACCAACGCGTAGCGATCGAGTCAAATTTCGCCATTAGACAAATCATACGATCGATATACATATGCATTATTTTTCTTCGTACGAACGACTTTGTATGAAATATTTTTATTGATCTTTTCCTTTTTTTTTACATTTAATTTTTCTTTTTTTTCTTTTTCAATGACTAGATTTTAATTCGCATAATATTGGAAGACAAAAAAGTGGATTTTAATAGTGAATCAGTGTAAGAAATAAAGTGCTGTTCTTAAATCGAAAATCATCATGCAAGGCCGCTTCTCATTGGTCAATTTATTCCAGGTACGTTCGAACTTAACTTTCGCGCCTTATCTTTCGTTATTGGCTCTCCTGGTCACGTGTTCGATCTCTGATCAATTTTTAAATAATGCTTTTCAATGATCACGGTTTTTCTTTACTTAAACGTTTAGGTTTAATATTTCTACGAATATGATTTCTCTTATCTTATTTTTTTTCATTTCTTTTTCTTTTACGTTTGAATTAAGTCTTTCTGCGAATATGATTTTTCTCATTTTATTTCGTTTCTTTCCTATTTCCTCCCCATTTTGGTTATAAACGTTTCTACAAAAATAATTTTATTTTCATCTTTTATTCCTATTCAAGTTTTTTCCCAGCGTTTAGATTAAACATTTCTGCAAAGATAATTTTTATAATTTGTCTTTTCTTTTTTTTTTTCCTTTAACAATTAGTTTATAAATATTTTCAGGAATATAATTTTTTTTTTGAAATCTTTGTGATTTTTTCCTTTTGTTGTAACATTCAACAATATTGATTAATAATTGTTTTTTACGTTGATATCAAATATATTTAAGATTTCTTTAAATCTTTTTCTTATCATTGTCTTATCACTTATCACGATACAAAAGAAAATGTCTCGAACTGTATGCTCATTTTATATAATTGAAATCAAAGACATGTTTTTTAAATTTCAAAATATGTAGAATATAGACGTAGAAATATTTATTTCGTCATTTCGAGGTGCAAATATCAAAGAGGTACGTCTTTCTCTTTTTGGTAGGCTTACGTAATATCCACTACGTCATTCGAGTTTCGCGCGATGACCCGCCATACGTCAATCCGATGCTGTTAATGGCACTATTAAAGTATTTATTTGAATTTGATTGAAAGGATAGGTCTGATTGGTCCAGTAGATATTTCATTCTATAGATTTAAATAAAACATTTAGATATAATAATTGTTAGCTTTTCGTAGTGTTAAGAATTGATGATCTTTTTTCAAAATAGACATTAACTGTATAAGCAAATGTTTATCTTATTAATATTAATTATTATTATTAATACCTCGTAAATTTTAACTTGCAAAGTCTAAAGGTTTCAGATTAAGAAATGTGATCCTTGATCATCAATTGTCAATATTTGTTTCTGTTTTTTTTTGTTATAAAAGTATAGGAAAAATACAAATTTTTATGAGATCAAACGTATATGCGTAGAACATTATTATGACGTGTATTGAATTAATTCAACCCTCTATCGTTTCAATGTAATTTCGTTCCTCTACGTCGGAAGTCAACATGGTTGGAAGTATACTTAATCGAACGGATATTATGCATATAGCTTATATCACAGTTGTAATTTTAATGCATTGTAAAATAATTAAATAGGATTCTTATGAATCAAAGCTCATTTGATTCAGTTGTTTCATTGATCGATCTTAATAGCATTTTGATACTAATTCAATATAATTATTTTCATGATTGCATAAATAAAGAAATTAATGTAGATTATAGAAATTTTACATCATTATTATTTTGTTTTATGTTATAATAACGTGAGATATCATAAAATGAGGACTTTCCATTAGATGATTCAAAATATAACAATTCTTTTTTAACATACATTTAACGCGTGGCAATGTCACAATTGAGAACTTGCCAAAATTGATTTTAAACTAAGGACAGGCGAACATTATTATTAGATTTAAATGCTAGAGAGTAAGAGAAGATAAATATCTTTTTCAATAAATATTCGTCAACATTTACAATTAATAAATATCTTAATTAATAAGATTTTTTAAACAGATTTTTATTTATTTATTGATTGTCGTCATTTATCGATATGCGTCATTTTGAAAAACAATTTATTTTACGCACGAAAAATAAAAAAGAAGATTTCCAAGAAGATTTCTGAAAAGAAATACGAAGATTTTTTTTTTACGTCACGTTGGATAAAATTAGCTTAGGAAATCGTTGTTGCTATCATCGACAAAATTTGTTCACCTCCGTTCAAGGTCAAGAAACGCAAAGGTCACAGGAAAAAAAATGTTAGACAAAATTGTTAAGTGGATTTGCAGTAGGTTCTCGATCAATCAGAGAAATTGCATGTTTTTAAATAATTATTTAGAATAAAAAAAAAGAATTATCATTGGAAGGATTTAATAAACAATCGACTAATAGTAAAATCAAATTTTATATTTTACAAATAAATATATATATATATATATATATATATATTATATTAATTATAATAATTTTATTAATAATCGATCAATCAGAATACGACTTTGTAATTTAATAAGTAATTGATCAATCAGATAACGTTAATTAAAGGATAGAAAAATATCATCATCATTGACGCCAATAAAACAGACACCATATTGATTTTGATTTAATTGCAATATTTGATCGAAAAGTACATAATATAATGTATCACACATGACAAGGATTTCCCAAAATCGTTTAATTAATCGTATAACTCTTTTATATTATCTACCGGTTTATAAACGATTCGGAGAAAGCGGATACGACACGGACGTGCCTTCAAGCTAGAAGCATTCTGATTGGTCGATTTTATGGGCGTCGTATGCGAAACCTTCTCTGATTGGTTTAGTTGGTTATCGGATGAGAGGCTCGGTCTGAAGGGGTTCTCAATTTAACGAGAAAAAGAATGGTGAGAGCCAAGCACGTTTAAGAAACGTGTTGCGTTCATTTCTTCGAATCTTGCATCACATTTTCTGCTTGATCCATTGAAATAGTAATTATTTTGATCTTTTATCTCTTTCTTATTCTTACGTATTTGTAACCTTTTCTAAAGTTGATTTTGCGTGAAACTTCATTGAGCAGGTATTCCAAATATTTCAAATATGAACACCTTTGTACTCTTATTGAAAACAATTTTATTGAAAGGGTTAAAATTATTTCTTTTATAAATGTTTAATTTTATAAAATTCAATGTTTTTTTTTTTTTTCTTTTTTTGTAACTTCTATTTTATTTTATTTTCTTTTCTCTTTTTTTTGTTATAGATTGACGACCTACCGCCATGCGGCACGAATTACTGAGTATGTATTAGATAATAATGTTATATATAATAATAATAATCTTTATGGATTTAAATCATATTGCGTTACTTTCAATGCCAAGGATTCTATGATTACACGTGACTATTCATACATATGCGGAAGGTTACTGATATTTTATTATTCATATTATTCTCAGGTTTTCTCAGTTGTATTTTTTTTCACATGTGTATTTTTTTCACGCGTATATATACTTTATTACTAATCTTATAATAGATTTGTTAAAATCATTTCTTCCTTTATTGGTAAAAACATAGAATTTTTATTGTCTTTACAAATATAACTAATGAGGAGAAAAAATAACAAAAGTAATTATCGAAAAAGTATTACAAATTTGGAATCATTTTGTTACCCTCCTGCATACGTTACTTTTTTTTTTTATTTGAAAGCATCTATTTCCAGTTCCTTCACTCAGCATCTGAAGAACATTTTGTAATATTATTTTTTAATAATATAATTTTCCTAATTAATCAATCATAAGTTACGTTACAGGGTGTAACAACTTGTTCAGTTTATTTTCAAGTTCAACATATTTTTAAATATTTTTTTTTCCCTCGTTAATTTGAGAACCATCAATTGGTTTGAATAATCCCTTTAATGGACGATCCGTTTGATAATTTTAACAAGGTACTCGTTCGATCTATCTGACGTCAGAATGTTTTAATGAAATAATCGTTGACTCGTCGAATTGGGTTTTATTGAACTGTTCTTCTTTTAATATATTGGATCCAAGTTTGATTCTTTCTTCTTCCTGTGCGATAATTATTAACAATTTTCGTCTGATGATTTCTTTATCTCTTTTTCTTCATAGCTAACTATAATTTGTATCATATCTCATCATATTTCACATAATCTAAGTCATTTTGGCGCGTCAGGATAGTTGTATGATCGTCTTTTATCAGAATGGGGTAATTTTGTTCGAAGGTTTTCTGATTTAAATTTAGCGCCGGTTTAACCATGATGCATGAAAGATTTTGCTTACGCATCGGTCATCACGTATACCACCTTTCTTTCTGAAGATATTTAACATGGCTTACGTGCCACATAGCACAAGTTAGGCTCCTCGAAATTTAGAGATCGTATTTTTACTACAAATTTTTATCTAAAGAGTAATTGAAATAGATTAAAATCTATTAGGCTCTAATATAAGTAAATTTAAACAAGAATAAAAATATATTGAGTGTGATTTGGCTACTCAAATCAATTAATCATTGTGAACTTGGTTCAAAGTCAAAGTTATAATCGTAGTTGAAAAAAAAAAATAGAACAAAAATTCGGGCGTTGGTTATTTTGTATTATATTTCATGTCATATAAAAAGACAGAAGGCAAATACAAAAAAAAATTCTCGAATACTTTGTAATGCTAATAAATATGATTATCATTTAATAAGAGTCATTCAATAGCAACATTCTTTGTATTTCTTCTTCATTACTTTGCAAATTCAATGTAAATTTAACACTTCAATTCATTTTCTTTCATTTGCATTTAAAAATCATAAATTCGTCGAATGTTTGGAAAAATCTATTTTATCGACCATCACTTATGATTAATAAGTTACCGACAGTAAGGTTCCGTACATTAGTAATGTTTCGTAAGTCCGTGAGATGGCGACATCAATGTGATTTAAAGATCAGCAAATATAGAACTTGCATAATAAAAATTTTGCATTAAAGTTAGATTAATTTGTATTATATTTTATTCATTATCTATTCGAACAAATACAAATAATTATTTCAATAAAAATGTCGAGTGCTTTTTAGTAAAAATGAAGTATAACGAAAATGATAAATAAATATTTTTTTATTATATACATCTTACACTTGCATTGTATTTAACAGATATAAGAATATAAAAAACTTATAGGAATGTAATATAATATTGACTTATAGGAATAAGTCACTTTTAATTAAGAACCACATTACGTATGGTTTTCATTTTATATCATTATTTACAATAAGTACATTCATTAATATTATGATTAAATCTTTGACATAAAACCTTCAACAGATTGCACGATCACTTCTTAAATATTGTAGAATTAAATTTGGAAATATAAAAGGATTGAAAATCTACCAATCCACTTAAGAAGAATTTCATATCCATTAAATTTTGTATTTACTTTGAAATTATACTTTTATCATTTATCACAAATAATCGTACAAAGATAGTAATAAAAATTCAACTGCTCATATCATCTTCCTCTTTAAATTCAACACTATTACTGTCGTCTTCATTTTGATCTTGATCTTCTTGCTCTTCTTGGTCCGACATTTCCTCCCAATATTCACCCGATTCGCTTTCTACGGTATCTTCCATGGAAGGACCTTCGTCAGATAAATCTGCGTAAATAAAAATTGAATTAGAAAAACGCTCACCATGTTTAATATATGATAATAATAAATGAAAATAATTTAAACATAATATGTTGATCATAAATTCTTACCAGCATCTTGATAAACCATTAAAGAATCATTTAACGTGTCTTGATCGTCTTGGCTCTTAGATATTTGTTCTGTTAAAAGTGAAACACGTCCTCGTAATTTAGATATCTCAATTAATAACATTAACTTCTCATCAATCAAGCCTAAGATAGGAGTTAATGCTTCATCGATATTTTGATGTGACAAAAGATGTGCTGAGTGTGTTGTTATCAATATTTCCAACCATATAGAAGCTATTATACTTCTAAAATAAATTATTTTTTTCAATAATTAAAATGTCCAATAACTAAAATAATAATGAGTATTTAATAGGGAAGAAAATATATCTTACGGATACAGTTTTCCTCGTAACATTCTATATAATTCTTCAATCAAGGGTGTTATTGCTTGGACAGGCAATTTGGCAATAGTACTTCTAATTGTTCTTTCATTTTTTGTAAATAGTACGTTATTTAAAATAGTTCTATCTTTGCTGTATAATCCTTGCATTAATAGCTGCATCATATTAGTTCCTTTAGAAGGAGTTCTATTTGTAGTATTAGTATCAACATTTAAACTAAGATTTTCTAATCTATCTCTTAAAGGTAATTGAGAGCTTGCAGAACTGGTCCTATGTCTTTTAATCGTCGTATTTCCTGTTCCTAAAAGTAACATTAATATTTAATAAGCTGTATGAAAATAATGTAATAATAACAAACAGGTTTATATATTACCAAGTGCAAGATGTTCAACACTATTCTCCGTTATAGTGGCTTTTACTTTTGTAACTGATTCCTCTTTCTTTTCTTTTGTCTTTTTAACTTCTGAGCGTATTAAATACTGCATCTTATTTGAATAATCTGGTGTAATCTTTTCAAATATCAAGTTTAGATAAGAACCATACGCTAATAATAACTTTTCATTTTCTATAAATTTTGCCATAATAATAGGAATCTGTTGTACAGTTTCTTTTCGATTTTCATCAGAAGTAACTGCAATAGTTAGTTTCGGCTTCAAAGGTTTAGATCTTTCGTTAAGTTCGTATTTAAAAACGTGTGCTTGTCCTGATCTAGTATTGGCTACTACCATCACCTGAGACTCCTCATTCACGTGTGCAGAAACAGACAAAGCTTCATCTTGCATAGATAATGTAGCCACGGAACACTTATCATTCTTTGCCTAATCAAATTGAGAATAGTATCATTACAAATTTTTAAATATTGGGTGAATCATATAAAATAAATAAATTACATTTTCACACATGACTCATCTCGCATGATTCTTATTAACATGAATGATAGCCTACATACCTCATCTAAAGCCCATATACTCAGATATCTATCTTCATTTGCTCCACTGATTAAATAACTGATATCTTCGTTCACTGTTATTGCATTTAAAGAGGTAATTTGGCTAGAATGACCAGTAAAAGTCTTGATAATTTTCTTTGTAGACAAATCCCACCATTTGATTATTTTATCGGCAGAGATCACTGATTTTTCATCTTTCATTACTGCTAAGGCAGTGACTTTTGCCTTGCCAGATTTCCACTTAGATTTCATTTCATTTTCTTGAATATTCCATTGAATTAAACAATGATCATCCGCAGCTGTGAATAAACCACTATTTTTGGACCAAGCCATAGCTGTTATACAGAAAGAATGGCCATTTTCTAATTGACCACAAACAGAAGCAGCTGCAATATCGTATAAAGTGATAATTCCATTTACAGATCCCATAGCAATTATTTCTTTTTGTTCTGCCTCTTCCACAATCATTTTCCTTGCGCGTTTACTCCTTAGTGAGTGCTACAATAATGTCAATAAAATATTATTATATAGGATTAGATTATTAACTGAGAAACAATGTAATTATATAATGTATTTTTTTTTTAAATATTCTCTTTAGATTTTTTAAAGTTTCATAAGTAAAAAGAAAATGAAACTTCATACAAAATCGTTAGAAAAATAATTTCTAACAACTATTAATACAAAAATATATGATAATTCAAGATTAACATTCCTATTGATACAACTAAATAGACAAATAATAAAAAACACATAGCATACCGTTGCATTTGTTGCCTGAATATTTACAGAAATCCAGGATAATACATTGCATGGCGAATTAAGATATTGATTCGGTATATATTCTTGCTTGAGTTTATTCGTTTCTGTTTCCCAAATCTTGATTTTTCCATCTATTCCGCAATGAACCAAATATTGTCCGTCTTGAGAAAATGCGGTACAAATAGTATTCGCCATTCTGATCGTTATTACTGTTTTCTGATTTTGTATATTTGAAATAATTCTGGAGTATAACTGTAAATATAAGTTCAAACATAAAGTTCATTAGAAATATCCTAATATTTAATATCTACATTCTTTTACTGATTACAAAAGCAAGATACTTTACACGTTGAGTATTATTGATGAACCTTTGGAAAGGTTGAATGCGAGCTTGCTTTGTTCGAAGGTTATAACAGTAATAATTGATGAAGTAAAAGTATAGAATCACATGGATAACGGCCACGGAGCTGAATTAAGAAGATATGCCGTGCCTATAGCAGTTGAGACGAAAAGCGTAACTTTTTCATTTCAGAAACCACCGACATGTTCGCTCAAATCGCTCCTTGATAGGCCTGCCAAACTTGTCCAGAATTGTTAGTATAAGAGTTGGGATACAAATAAAATGTAATGCGATCAGTAATGCGATATGCTATCTTCAGATAGAAAAATAATTATAAATCCATAAGCAATAATAAAAATCAAATCATATTGTTTTTAATATTTTTATTATCGTAAAAAAAAACCATGAAGGAATTTATTATCTTATCGACGGTCGATAATCTCATATGATAAAGCAGGAAATTTTTGAATTTTTATCCCGGGAAAATATCCTCAATCTACATGTGACGATTAAAGAATTATTGTTTTATTTTCTTTTATATATATTTATAAAATACGTTGGTCGATTAAATTAGAGAAAGATTGTTAGTAACAAACATAAGATAATGTATAAGTATTTGTAAGTTGATAAGATTAGGAGCCAATAAATTGATAGGTTTATAGTGCATTTAAATAAAATAATTGTAAAAAAGAAAACAATCATTCTGTGCGTGTGTGTGTGTGTACAATAAAATTGTTATATTATTCGTATTTAATTTATATGCATATGCTCAAACATATTGATTATAATGAAACAATTCAACAAAATGTTAACATTCGGATGATAGGATTTGCATTATTTGTCACGTTTTTTAAATACAAAAGAATTATAGTAAAAGAAAATAAACTGGGAAGGAAAAGAAAGGAATAATGGAATTCGATGAGAGATAAAAAAAGACAGTTCGTGTCTTTTTCCCAATCGTTTGTTTTAATATTGTATCATTGACAACGTAGTAGAGATAAAATACAATGACGATCATTGTTATCATCATAAACTATCATTGCATACGTTATAATATGACGTCAATGTAACTTTATAAACGTAGGACATGCGCGTGTTCGTCGATATTTTAGTATATTTTTACGTTTACATGCATATGTTACTAAATGATACGATTAGGTAATCGAAATAAATACTTGTCGAGTTAAAACGTTTGAGATATTTGACGATGATCATTTGAAGGAAGTAACGCAAATATAAAAAAAACTTTATGAGAATGTATGAAAGTATATTTTATCGATTTGTACGATCATATTTCATTTTCTCTCTCTCTCTCTATTTTTTTCTTTCTCAATAGGTCGCGAATGCGAACAAAGCAATGATAAACTTACGTCGTGGACTTCGACGTGTCCTCTTCTTTCTTTTAGATTGACTCGTCTAATGTGTCGCAATTATTATGCACTTATTATATAACCACATTCGTATTTCTTGGTATTTCGTACGTTATATCGTTCTATTATCATTTTTCTATATTATTATTATTAATATTATTCTTTTCTTTTTCTGTTTTTTTTTTTCTTACGAATACAACACAAAGTTTTGTTATTTCAATTTTTGTTGAAATTTGTTTTTCGGGAATCTATTTTTGTTTTTCTTATTATCACTTGCAATGAGTATGCTAATGTTATGATAAGAAATGTAATGAAATGTGAATGAGTTAGTGGAATGTCCAGTTTAGTTTGACATTGATATACTTGGAAAACTAACGATAGTCAAGAATTCTTGATTTATAACATCAGATTATCGACCGTTGATAATCCAATAAATTCCTTCATCTTTTCTTTTCTTATTTCTATCATTATAAAAATATATCAATTATCATGATTTCGTCGAAGTATTATTACTTGCAGGTTCATATATTCATTTCTTTTGATGATTCTTTTTAATTACCTTTTTTAATTATCTAGGAAAAAACCGTGCATGTTCATTTCTTTTCTCACTCCTCTCTCTCTCTCTCTCTCTCTCTCTCTCTCTCTCTCTTTCTCTTTCTATCATTAATCGCATAATGGCAGTTGTTGCATTTTTGTATCTTCGATAACAGGTACATGCATACGAGTGCTTGTGTATGAAAGATAGAAGTAGAAAGAGAGAGGACTCAGAAGATAAATTGCACATTCCTGAATTACCTAATGGCGTATTCGTTATGCATCCGGCGATTACTATAAGCTCATCTTTTAGAGATTTTGAAATAGTGGTCGATTCTTATACACAAAAAAAAAAAGAAAAAAAAACGCATGAGTTGTCTTTCGTTCTTTATTTTTGATAGGGCATAATTCTTGGAAATTTTTTCCCCTTTTTCTTTTTTTTTTAAAAAAGATTCAACAAATAATACTTCGTTTCTTTTTTTTTTTTTTCAGTCGGTATTTTTATTAAGATTGCATCAGAGTTGCACAATTATTAATATTATTTATTCTATTATCTTTTATCTCATTCAACCTTTTATAATTACTATTATTATAATATTAAGTTTGTTTTAAAAAAAAAAAAATGTCAAGTGTAACCAATTAAAGAAAAATATGATTCTGTTAGATTATTATATATTCTTTCTCGTTGTTTAAAAACATTAAGGAAGAGATCCGTTATAGTTCATCATATCTACGAATTAGAAATGATACGATGCGAAATTATATCCGGGTGAGGTGGAGCCTTTACTATAAATATTACATGTGTAACAAAGAGAGACATATATAGAGAGAAAGAAAAAAGAGTGAGATCATTTCATTGACTATTTGTAGCTGAATATAGGCCGTTTAAAGAGAGTAAAAGAGGTAGAGGGAGAAAGAAATAAAGGATTTGCAACAATCAAATGTAACGTTTAGATTGCATCTGATTTGTATTACTTTTCAAATCATATTCAAATATAGTTTTATTATAGTCGTATGTCATATATGTATCACATAACGTAGAAGATTTAATTAAAACATTATATTATATATAATTTATACGTGCCCGAGTAAAATATAAAATTAAATTATAAAATGTGATTTTTTAAAATAGATGAAAAATTGATTATATACGTTTTGTGTGTGCAAATTAACGATAATTTATTATTTCATTTATACATTTTATAAAGTATAAGAAAATAATGATTTTTTTTTTTATGTTTCACTTTATCTTCGTCCTATCGGTCGTTGACGTCGTAAAAGTACGCGCGAGGAACGTAAAGTGACGAAGAACTATCGGCTCGTTTCTTCTATCATAGATGAATTCAAATATAGCGGGGGTATGTAAGGACATTACGGTGAACCAATCAGAGACGGCGATAAACGGAGGCTCGGCTCGAGACGTGCGCAGTGACGTATCAAGTTTATAAACCAATCGTGCACTCGCTCACGCCGAGTCAGTAGTTGCACGTCTTCGGTAACGCGCGCGTCTTATTCTTTCTCTCTCTCTCCCTCTCTCTATCTCTTTTTCTCTCTTTTTCCCTCTTTTTTTTATCCTTTTTTTTTTTTACACTCTATTTTCTTCTTTTTCTTCCTCTTATTTTTTATAAATTATTTAATTATTACGCACACGCATTAGTCGTGACTACAGTTTTCAACGGTAAAAGCAATCAAAAAAAGTTTCTATTTGTTCTATTCTTTCTCTCATATATTATTATTATTAAAATTGTCTCTTTTCCATACATTGATAATAATATTGTATTACTTATTTATAATTAATGTTAATTTTTTGTGTGTTACCAAATATTGTTTAAACATTTGTCGTCAAAGTGAAAAAGAGAGAGAAAGAGAAAGAAAGAAAATCTTTGAGAAACGTTTTTTTGATTTAGTTTCAATATATACTTTCTCAGTGATTGTTAACGTTTGTTACTTATTTGTTATAAGCTTTTTTCCTTTTTTTATCATTTCTTTCATAGCATAGTGGCTAGGGTATTTCGTATCATAAGAAAAAACTTTAGTGAGAAACATTTAGCAAATAACTTCATCCATCTTGTTTTTCTTTTGAAAAAAAAAAACAATCCTAATGCGAGTGAGAAACAAAAAGAAAGAAATAAATAAATAAAATTAAAGTTAGGAAAGAAAGGGAGACAGGCAAAAGTATAAGTGTATATCAAGTTATTGTACACCTAGAAAAGTGTGTTGTGTTTTTTGATCGGCAAGATTCTTCTATCGTTTTCTTACGTTCAATTGTATTGGCCGAGATTTTTGCCGCGCAAATTTGAAAAGTTGTACTTCGGTCGATCCGTCTAGGGAAATTTTCAAATAAATTTTCCATGTTGATTTCTTTTCTTTTCTTTTTTTTTATCGTCGAATAGTCGAGTACATCGTCGTACATTGTGTTTTCACATGACTTCTTTCATGCGCATAAATACATTAGATACATAATGCACATATACATGCATAATCCTCTTGTCGGTCTAATGTGGAAAACAATTGGAAATAAAAAAGAAAATAAAATGAAAGAAAGAAAGAAAGAAAAAAAGTATTGAGGTGTATCAGGAAACATAAGCGTCGTTTTTCATAATGTTTTTTCTTCATCTTCTTCTTCTTCTTCTTGGCTTCCATGCGATAAGCGTTTCCTTGCAATTAAGGAATACCATCATAATCAGGGTCGAAGAATACAACAACGCAACAGAAAAGCGAGGTTTATCAAGGTTAACGCCGAACGTTACGTCGCACCTTCTTATTCAGAGACATTAAAGTAGCATTCATAAGTAGTAGTAGTAATAGTAGTAGTTTGATGAGTGTTAGTAATACTATGACTAGTACTACTATGCGAGAGTATTAAGCATAATCGTGTAATGTCGTTAAAGATTGGGCGATCGAGATTCTGCTTCATCATCTTTATCAATGTCTTCATCGTTGCAACTACATCGATATAATCCATTTCAAGAGATACCATTTTGTTAATTATAATCTTTTTCATGCATGACCATTAACTTTTTTGTTCGTATCTTTTATTTTTACACAAAACAGAGGATAAATAATTGATTTTAATCATATTTACAGGATCATAACAAAGGTTTACAATACTTCTAATTGATTTTCTAAATAAATTATTTTGTCTTCGAGACTGTGTCTTAAATTTCATAGTCAAAGTTTGTAATTTAGGATACTAAAAATTAGCTTAATTATCTTAATAACTTTCTCTTTTACGAAAACATTTTCACACGTAGCACCACCTCATATTTTCAAACAGATCGATATTTCAATTAATTACAAAGCATAATTGGCCACCTTCCATCGTACTTTTTTTTTTCTTTCTTTTTCGGTATCTTATTCCTTTGCTCTCTTCTCAATATTTATTTATCAAAATTAAAAAAGTTCTCCTTGTGTTAGGTAGATCACCCGAAGGCCAGACAAAAATTGCAAATAAAACGCGAGCATAAAGATTTTATCTTATCTGACGATTGCAAGATCGTTTCGCTTGGTTGTTATACCGAACTAAATGCATTGCACATATGCACGTGTAATAAATACGGTAGAAAAAAGTACATACATAAAAAAAAAAAAAATTCTTTTCGTTACACTGGAATATAAAAGATTGTCAGGATGCGTCATGTTTGATTTCTAACAAAAACTTCCTTTTTTCATTTACTTACCCGGTATATGTTTGTAAGTTTAATCGATACATCGATTGATCTATCAATTACCATCGATCCATTTTCCTATCTCTCCCTCTCTCTCTCTCTATTTTTCTTTTTCTTTCTTTGTCTAGCACGCTTTACGATTACTTAATCCTCTCGAGTATATCATTTATTCTACCATGTATTCAACTTCCTCGAGATTGAGTACATTACCGAGATTAACGAACTGGTATTTATGTCGTTCGATCGATTTTCCTCGTTCTTGTATGATAATTAACAAGCTCGTCGATTTTATCTACCACTCTTAAATCTCTTTTTCTCATTTTCTTGATCTTTTCTCGCGCACAATCTCGCCTCCATTCGTCATGTCGTTTCATTTGTTGATTGTACAATCGTTAATTATTATCGAATGATTTTTATCGATGGATACCGACAGATCTTTTTGATCTACATTTTTTTTTTTTTTTTTGAAAACATTTATCATTGAATCCTATCCTTAAGATTGATCGTAAATTTCAATCGTTTATCTCGAAATTTAATTTCTTTCTTTTTTGCCATAAGAATCTTTATAACGGATGAGAAGAATCAAGAAACGTAGATAATTTATTTTGCTTTAGGAAAGAAAAAAAAGAAAATTTAATCAAAGATTAGAATCGTCACGCATACACATTGAAAGGTAATCTGAATCAGAGTTTCTCATATTTTATTCCACTTGGCGACAGCATCCACATTACTCGAGAAAATATTTTACTTTATATCTTCTGAGTAAAGAATTTAGAAATGAGGAATGAAGATAGAAACATATGCGTTTGGTAATAAATCGTAAATAACATTTATTATACATATTCATACTAATTTCGTAGTATTGTTGAGTCGCGTGTTACGATTTGTGAAATCTCATCCAAATAATGCATTTCAATTTATATTATTATTTTGAGAAAAATCATCAAAATTATCGATTAACATTTTTGTGTTGCACATATATATATATATATATTTTTTTTTTTTTCAGTAGGTTTATAATAAATTTCGTAGAGAAAGCTTTAATGGCCACTTTATTTGATTCATCTTGTATAAAACATGGATATATGTGTATATATATTTTTGTATGCATATATTTGTGCATATATTTGTGCATGTATACACTGGGTACATATCGTCAGTCCATGTATACCGGCACAAACTAAGTATATTTTTAAACGGGCATTGCGTCAAAAGCGTAGGTTCTCATTGAATGACACGAATAGAACTTGACCGGCGGCAATATCGGTAAGAGAGACATGTTGTCGTGTTCCATTCGTCTCGCAAATGTCTCATTTTCTTTCTATCTCTTTCTTTCTTTCTTTATTTCTTTCTTTCTTTTCCTTCCTTCATTTTCTCTCTTGAATTCACCTTAATAATCCACACACAATGAATGAATTAATTAATATTCTTTTTTATACTAAATATAATTTTTCTATTTAACCCTTCTTTGCATGATTTTTTTTTTTTTTTTTTAAATAAATCAGGGTGATGTAATTAATGCTCTAGATTAATGGAAAAATATTTAAAAAAATCCTAGTGCTATTTTTTGACAACTGCGTTTTGTTGTACGCAATAATCGTTTAAAAAGTTGCCAGCAACAACAAATATACAGTACAAGGGTTTTGAGTACCTTTTTTTGTTGACTAAATATTATGATTGAAATTTCCATCATCATGCAAAGAAGGGTTAAATTCATTTTTCATTTTATTCATTCAAATATTATATATCTAAATTAATTGATCTTAAATTAGTTGCGCGTAAGAGAAAATAGGAATCGTTTCGTCCTAACTTTGGTAGAAACCATTTTGTAAAAATCACAAAATGGCTGCATTCTGCCATAATGTCAATTTGAAAGAACATAAATGGGGTTAATTAATCTTAGATGTTTCATTATGTCGACAGTTGAATTCTCGAAGTGTATTCAAACGGCAATCTCGTCGACGAGCCGAATTATAGTTATTTTTAGTATCACCCAATGAAACGCGCTACAAAGCGTCAATTGAAGGTGCGATTGACAGACAAGTCCGAGTTTCTCTTGAGGTCAACGCGAAGAACAACGCGAATATATGTGTTTTTTTTTTCTTTTAATTTTCTTATCAACCATTTTATTTATCAACTTTTGTCGACTATTATTAACAAAAAAAAAAAAAACGTGGCCTAAAGATTTAGGATTAACGTCCATTTTGTAAAAGGGGGGCGATTTGTCTTTCATTTTGAAAAAAAAAAAAAAAGAGGAAAAAGGAGGGAAATTTTAACGAGTCGAAACAAAAAAATACCAACATTTATTTCCCGTACAATTAAAAATAATTTTGTATGTGCCGTCAATGAGGGCAATGAACTAACAAATAAAAAGGGGGAGGGGGTTAAAAGAAAAATCAGATTTATATTGTAATATATAAATAATTGTGTAATATGCAATAATATAATAATATCAACTTTGATTTATGTTAAATCATTGTCGTATAATCGTTGGCACATATAAAATCAGAAATCAAATAATCTATCGATTTATAATTATTTATTATAGTCATAACTTTATTTTTTTTTTCTTCTCTCAGGGAAGATGCGGCCTTGCTGCTGGAGTTGAGACCGCCTCGCAGATTAAGAAAATTTGAGGGTCCACGTCCGAAAGCGATAACCAGAAAGTAAGGACCTTCCAAAAAAAAACAAACAAATTCGGCGTGTCTCATCTTCTTCCCAATTGTTATCATCGCCAAAAACGAAACTTTGAAAAAAGATCGTGAGAGCATATATATAAAGTTGTCGAGAAACTTTTTAACAAAGAAAAAGTATCAAAAGAATCAACAATTCTCGCATATGAAAAACAAACAAAAATCAACGATTAAAAAAAATCACACGCTTACACACGCTCACACACGTACACACGCGCGCGCAAAACTCTCATCCCCGCGAAAGTAAAAATAATCCGCGAGAAAATCAAAATTCGAATTAATTAACACGCGTGTCGTTTAAAGAGCCGAATAATAAATAAGAGCTGAGAGCAAAGAAATAAATATATATATATATATATCCATATATAAAAAGGGAGGGGGTGAGAGAAAGAGGGTGGAAATATTAACAATAAACTTCCAGTCGTAAAAAAAAAATAATTAAATTAAATTAAATTAAATTAAATTAAATTAAATTAGTTTAAAAAGAAAAAAATACTTTTAAATCAAATATAAGGACGACTAAACACGCACACGCACACACACACACATATATAAATATATATATATACATATATATAGATACTATATATGTATATATATATATAGATACGTATAAACAGAAAAGAAAAGGAGGAAAATATAAGATGGCTCTGATGGTTTCTTGGTCCATTTCGATGATTCGTCTGATCAATGCTGCAATCACGTTCCTCGTCGTTCTTCGATATTGTGCGATCGCTGCTGCTGATGTGAGCGTTTCTAAACCTCCTCCGTGCTCCAGGTAAGTGATTAGAAAAAAAAAAAAAAATAAATAAAAAGAAAAAAAAAATACAAAATTTACAATATAACAACGGACAAACATATATAAAATTTAATGAATTATTTGTAAATATGTGTGTATATAAATGTTTATGCAGAAGAGAACATTTTTTTTTCATTTAAGTATTATTTAATTATTATATTGATTAAAAAAAGACTTGCACATCAACAACGATATCTAGTTGTTGCTTTAACGATTGTTTTAATATAGAAAACAATTTTAATTATATATTTCTAAGATTAAAATATAATAATAGAAAAGGATAGAAAATAAGAGGAAAAGAAATTGTTGTAATAATTTAGAAAGACAAAATATTCGAATGTTTGAGAATTTATTGATTATTATTTTCTCGTATTTTATATTTATGTAGAATAATAAAAAAAAAGAAATGAGAGTATGGGTAATAACGATGATAATGGGGGTTAGGAGGGGAGGGGAAAACAAATATTTTGTTCTCAGTTCGCGGTTTCGCTGACGCGTGTAATTTATTTTCTCTTCTTCTTCTTTTTTTTTTTTTTTTTTTTTTTTTTTATTTTCTTTTTTAGCACAACCCACACTTGAAGTAAATTTAAAAATAAACGAGACGAAAGTGAAATTGGTGAAATCATATATTTTGTATGTTTCATTCGGTTCTGGATGTTAATTCGAAAACGGTTTCAATTGTTTAAAAACTGAACCAAAANTTTTTTTTTTTTTTTTTTTTTTTTTTTCTTTTTTCCTGTTTATTTTGAAAGAGGAAGCGCGTGTCGAATGTCGAAATCTTAAAAAGGAAGAAGTGAAATTGGTGAAATCATATATTTTGTATGTTTCATTCGGTTCTGGATGTTAATTCGAAAACGGTTTCAATTGTTTAAAAACTGAACCAAAATATATTTGCCAAATTGTCTAATTTTAAATTAAATAGCATAAAAATTAAACCCCCATTTTAATTTTACCATAACAAATTGACAAATTTTTGATCTCGATGGTGAGGCTCAAAACTTTTCAACCTCCCACCTAGATAATTTTTATCTTATCCTTTATTTTCCGAGAAAAATTGGAAAATGGTTCCATTGATGTAAAAACTAAAGAAAAGAAAAGAAAAAAAAAGATTTGAATTATTTGACAAATTTCATTGAATATAATCAAACAATAATTGATATCACAAATAATTATTGTGACGTAATTCGTCGTATAAGGGATAAAAAAAAAGACAAGTCTCCTAAAAGTGAGATAAGAAAAGAAAAAAAAGGGAAACTAATGTAATAGGAGATATGGTCTCACGTTCTTATTTCGATGACGTAAAAACGCCCACATTTTTTTCCTTGGTCATCGTCCAAATGTTCGATCCACGTGCACGTTCTCGTTATTACGTCGAAGAATTTCATTTCGTATATGCAAAACTTAATACGTTGGTTTAACATTATCATACATATTCCTGTAAATTTAAATATTACTTTTATGGGCCATTTAATTTCACCTAAAAATCGTGCGACCAAAAAATTAATCCTAAAAATGTTCTTCACAGTCAAACGTCTGATATTTATTTTCTTTTTTTTGTGTAACCAAACGAATTTCTTTCATCATACAAATTTGCTCTACTTCATCAAACAACACTCCTCCATCTTTGATATCGCTGTAATAGTAATTGTCGTAATTAATTAATGCCCGTCATTGAGTGAGAGTTTCCTTTACGAAAGCTCATGAACAATATATACGAGATATATTAAATCTACCCGGTCAAAAATTTAATTCTTATTACATCATTTGTTTTTATAGTTTTGAAATATGTTGACAATAAAGAAATATAACGTTTTGCAATCTAACGTTAATTGTTCGGGATAATTTTATCTTCGATTTAAATGACGTCCTGCAACTTTTGATATTCAGTATACACTTATTGATGGATTTTTTATTTTCTTTTTTTTAACATTTTATTTCACGTTACAATAATATCCAACAATTGTTTTACATATATTTATCAATATTTTTTAATTTAATTTATTTCGATAGTATTTTATATAGGAAAACTCGTAGTATAGATCATTTTTACGAATACAATAATAAAATGTATATTAAATGGCTTTTAAATGAATAGAAAATGATAAAATAAGAGTGACAGAGATAGAGAGATATATCGTCTATCTCCCGTATATTGTCACGAGATTAACCATGTTGATTTTGATTTGTCCGTGACACGTAGAATGAACCCAGGACGGAAATAAATATTTTGATCATCGGCCAGTCACTCGCCTTGCATTCCGTTCAATTTTTAGCGAACACGCGACATTCCTAATTAAGTCGACTTATTCTAGAGATATTATTGGAAGTCAAGTGTATATATAATCTACTTTCTTTGAATCATCTTCCCACAAATTTTCCACAAATCAAAGATATCTTCACTTTCTTTTCTCATTACTTTCATCTTCAATGTGATACATTTTATTTTTCTCTTTCATTTAATTTCTTCAATATACGACGATCCATTTTATCATCTAATTTATTCTAAGATTTTGTGTATTTCGAAATATGTGTTTGCATTGAATGTTTTTCTATCGAATATTTCATTCACAATTTGTCACATAAAATTTCTTTCACTTTTTTGCGAAACAATTTACGTTGAGAAATATTAAACTTTGAAGTATGATACGTGTATCAAGAGCAATAAAGATAAGAAGTGCATATATAATAATAATAATAATAATAATAATAATAATAATAATACATTCCGAGAAAAATAGCTTTCAGTTTTCTTTTATCATTATTTGTTTATTTCGTATTACGAATGTGATAAAAAAAAATATATATATATAAAAGAAAACAATACAATCATTAAAAATAATCGATGATTTTTTTACATCATTCATTTATCGTTAAATTACATAAAATATATTTTCCCATACCGCGAATGTTTATTTAAAAATATTATTATATAAAAGGTAGAGAAAAAAATATTTTCGAAAAAATCTATTAAAATTTCATATTATAAATATATATTTATTTATGATTAACAGTAAGAGAAAAATAATAAATGTTGCGTGTACGAAAAACTGATGAAATCCGTGAGCATTGATGTTGATACTAATTGATAAAATATTAACGACAAGTGATCGTGTTCAATTAATTAATTATTCTCATCAATCAGATTTCATTTCTACATTAGCAAACTCTGTTGGCTATTAATAGGCGATAAGATCGTAAATAAATCTAATCGGGTATATTAACCAGACGTTAATTGATTAAGAAAATTCAAACTTATAAAGCAAAAGGACTGATATTACGATATATGACATAACATTAATTGAATATATCATTATTTCATAACACTTATCTTTGATTTTTTAACGAAGACAAATTATTTTCGTAACATTAATTTTGATATCTCTAATCAAGAACTAATAATTGTTCTTGATACAAGTGGCTAACATACTAATCATTAAAACCTAATCTAAGATTTACAGATCTTCTTTCTAAATTTGACTTTCGTGTGTTGATTTCTTTTTTTTTTTTCTTATTTATTCATCAACGTAGATAAATTTATTCAATATACTACAGTCTTGACACGACCAGTCGATAAATATTCTTAATTTTATTTATTGCTTTTTAATTTATTCTCAGTAATTAGAAAAAAAAGGTAACAAATTTTGGTCGCAATCCTTACTTTTTTGAAAGTAAAAAAAAAAAAGAAATAAGAAACATTTGTCATTATCTATTTAACGTAGTGTCCTTAACAGTGAACTTGGCGCGAATGTAGCAAGGTAAAGAGATTTAAATTAGTGTGTTCCGCAAGAAACAATGAGCATGACCTTAATAAATAATGCGTTCATTCCCAACAATGTGATCGGCCTTTCGTACAACATACATTACATATTATTATCTTTTTCTTAACCGACAATATAACTCATATACTGAATGTATTACTGTCAAACGTTCATTTTATTTTATATATGTCTCGGATATTTATATTTTTCTTATTCGTAAATCAATTTATAAGCTTTTAAATAAAAGCCTACGTTATAAAATGCATCGTAAAACAAAAAGAAAGAAAATTATTTGCGCGAAATAATTGATGGGTTTTTTTTTTAAATATATTTCATATACTTGTTGTTCAAATTATATAAATTTTGGATCGATCTATTGATTGATTGATTTGTTTATTTATTTATTTCGTTAAATTAATTCTCTCCCGTGGCAATATACAAAGGGAAATTATTTTTATTTAAATATTTTATTTCACATGGAAAAGGAAAAAAAAAGTACAATTCGAAAAGACGGAAAATATTTAAGTTATGATTGTATGTATTAATATGTTTATAACGGTAATACGATTTGCATACATTTTCATAGATATTGTTTAAACATTGCACAACGTTTGGTTGAAAATCATATGTATAAAAGAAAAAGAAAAACAAAATAATAATAATAATAATAATAATTAGGTATCTAATATCTCGGGGTTTATCTTTAGAAAGTTAAAACCGAATCATAAGCGCGACATATGACGTCATTAAATAATGATTTTACCCACAAAAGCCGGGACTTCTAAATGTCGAACGACGATAAGTTCAAGACCTTCGAGAATCTCAAAAGTTAGCCTACCTCTTGGAAGAAATTCTGTGACGTTTACGAGAGATGACGCACAACGCATTTATGCGAATAATTTCACCGGAAATATCGTAAACAGTCTTTCATTTCTTTTTTTCTTTTTTTTTTTTTTTTTTTTTTTTTTTTTTTTTTTCTTATAAATCATCGTTTCGGATTTAATCGGAGATGAACGAATTAGAGAAAAAAAAATTTATGAAATAAATCTTATTCGTTTATTAATTTTAATAATTTCATTATAATTGGATTAATAATTCATTTTATTTTTTTCGTTTTATTTTAGTAGGTAGCACATGTGTGTGTGTATGTGTTTTATTTTTTCATTTGAATGATCTCAAATAGATATATGTATTGAATAAATCGAATTTTTACGAGAGAGGAGGAAAGGAACAGGCAGGTCGACAGGTGTTCTTGAAATGTCGTTAACGTTTTCAACGCGTTAGAAAACTACGAGAACATTTGCGATCACTTGATACAATTAGTTTCGTAATACTGACGCAATACAAATTGCTTGTTTCGATTCATTTCAAATTGAAATTACCACTTTGACGATTTTGTTCTGCAAGTGTAATGGAAATACTATCGATCGATTTGATCGTTCGAATTAAATTTAACGAGAAAAAAAAAAAAAGCACTAAAGATTAAACAAAACTTTTCAATGCCCCACCTTCCTTGGAACAATTTTCGAATAATATCTCGCATTTTTGAACGGGTTGATTCTAACAACAAAAACGTACATTTTCCATTGATACTAAACGGATAAATTATCTTATTAAATCATATGAAATATTGTGGGAACCGTTTTCGAAATTTTCACCAAATCATGAATTCCAATATTTGTTTCATTAAAAATTAATTAATTAATTATACATAAGCCACACATAATCGGATAAAAGAAAAATCGTATAAGCTTGTAAAACGAGAACAACAAAAAATAATAATAATAATAATAATAATAATAATAAAACTAAAAAAAAACAAACAAACAAAAGGAAGATATAAAACAGAACAAAAAAAATATCTGGCGTGTGTGTATGGGTTTGCAGCAACATTTACTGCCACGGCGAGCTGCTGCACAAAATACAAATGGCGTCGATCTATCCAGACTCGAAGACGTTCGTCGATATGAAGATGAAGAATTCACCGGAAAAAACGCTGGCGTTGTTTCGTGAATTTATGAATCGTACGGACGAAATGCCGACCAAAAGTGAAATAGAACAGTTCGTTAACGATACATTCGATCCTCCCGCATCGGAGTTCGAGGAATGGAATCCAACCGATTGGATACCGAATCCAAAGTTCCTTCAAAATATAAACGATCCTGAATATAGGAAATTTGCTTCGGATTTGAACGAAATTTGGAAGATGTTAGGTAGAAAAATGAAGGATGACGTTAAATTAAACGAGGAACAATATTCGATCATTTACGTGCCCAATCCGGTGATCGTACCAGGCGGCAGGTTCCGCGAATTTTATTATTGGGACTCTTATTGGATCATCAAAGGTCTTTTGTTATCGGAAATGTATCAAACTGCTAGGGGTATGCTTAGCAATTTTGCAACTATCGTTGATAAAATAGGTTTTATTCCTAACGGTGGTAGAGTATATTACAAGATGAGATCGCATCCGCCACTTCTGATACCAATGGTCGAAGAATATCTTCAAGTGACCAACGATAATCGTTGGTTAAAAGACAATTTCTGGTTATTAGAAAAGGAATTTCAGTTCTGGATTACCAATCGTACGGTCGAAGTCGAAAAAGATGGGATTAGGTATACACTTGCTAGATACCACGAAGAATCATCTGGACCAAGACCGGAATCCTACAGGTGATTTTTGTTGTTGTTGGTAGTCTTCATCACATCCTAGAAAACCTTTATTTCCCCCCCCCCCCGATCGTGTTTTATATACTATCAAATCATTTTCTAAACGTTAGAAAATCATGTGACACGAAATATTAAAATCTTCTTAAAATAGGGAGGACGTTCAAACCAGTCAAAGTTTTCGTACTGCCGAAGAAAAGGACAATTATTACGCGGAATTGAAGACAGCCGCTGAATCAGGTTGGGATTTTTCCAGTCGTTGGTTTATACTTGATGGAACCAATAAAGGTAAATACACCCACCAAGACCCCGAGCCCTCCCCCCTACCTCCCCCGAATAGTACGTATTATCTTCGTTGTCTCTTACCCCATGCACTGCCTTTTCCCCCTCAGGTGGTTCTTCTTTCTCTCATCCCTTAAATTAACTATATTAATCATCCTATGTTCGATTAAAAATCAACGATTGAGTTATTGAGTTACGTTTATGAGAGAAACAAAACATGACCATGATCGGTGACGTTTTTAGGTAACTTGAGCAACCTGAAGACGAGATATATAATCCCAGTTGATTTAAATGCGATTTTATATCGTAACGCAGTACTTTTAAGTAAATATAGTCAAAGGATGGGTAATGCTACCAAAGAAGCATATTATTCTACAATTGCTGATGAATGGAAAAAAGCTGTTACCGCTGTTTTATGGCACGACGAGGTTGGTGCTTGGTTGGATTATGATATTATGAATGAAATCAAAAGGGATTACTTTTATCCTACAAACATCTTGCCACTTTGGACGTATTGTTACGATTTTACAAAAAGAGAAGAATACGTTTCTAAAGTATTGAAGTATCTTGAAAAGAATCAGATAATGTTGAATAAAGGTGGAATACCAACGACTTTGGAACACTCTGGTGAACAATGGGATTATCCTAACGCTTGGCCACCTCTTCAATATTTCATTATAATGTCATTGAACAATACTCAAGATCCATGGGCCCAAAGGTTAGCCTACGAGATAAGCGAAAGATGGGTCCGAAGTAATTACAAAGCTTTCAGCGCAACTACCCACATGTTTGAAAAGGTGACGAAAGCACAACATTTATTATATCAATGAAAATATTACATTTCGGTAGCTAATTATTTAGCTGCCTACCATCCTCGTATCTCCTTTTGTTTTTTCTTTTCTTCCTATAAGATGGCATTTTTTTTTTTTCTTCTTAATTTTCCTCGACAGTACGATGCAACCGTTTCTGGTGGTTATGGTGGTGGCGGAGAATACGAGGTCCAACTTGGTTTTGGCTGGTCCAATGGTCTCGCCATGATACTACTCGACAAATATGGTCAAACATTGGTAGCCGATGACAAATTTACTCCCGATAATGTTCTTTACAATGCTGCCCAACAGCAAGTTGTTGTATCAACTGCTGGTCAAGTGATGACAGGTATCCTTGCCCTCATCATATCACTCGCGGCAGGATTTATAGGGTGAGGTGAGTGAAATCGTCAAGAAATCAAAGAAAATCAACAACATTTCCCTTTTTTTTTTTTTTTTTTTTTTTTTTTTTTTTTTCCCCACACCCCTACGATATTCAGATTATTTGTGTGCAACAAATTATTATAAAAAATTTCTCTTCTCTTATTTATGTTTCAGATATCAATGTGGTTTTAATCCAACTAGGAGAATATTTATGGACAAAGAAAGACATAATAACAAAACAAAACAAAACAAAAATTAGACGCAAAGTATTTTATGGATTAATATAAAAATAATATATGATAGGGAAATATCAGTAGGATAACAGATATATATATATAGGGACTTGTGTGTGTTGTGTGTGTGCGCGGCGCGTACACGCGTATAAATTTGAATAGTTGATATTTCTTTTTTTTTTTTTCTAAATCATTTATAAATTTTTAATCCTCTCATATCTCACTGTGTTTAGAGATCAATCGATCATTTAAATATGTTATATTGTTGGTTCCGTCTTATTAAAATCACAAATAATTAATTATATGAATATGACCGATGTGTGTACACACATATACACACGCACACAATCGCACACGCACGCGTGCGCATTCAATAGTATTTTTTTTTTATACTTCCAACGTACATACTTAATCATTATTGAAATTTTTAATATGTAGCATAGGTACTCTGTGATCGAGAGGAACTTTTCGCTGGCCGAAAAATTACGTTCCGAGAAAATAATTCCCTCCTGCATGATCTATATTATAATAATCAATCTATTACGCTTTAAATCAACAACAACAACAACAGAAATAACAACAAAGATCGATTTTCTTTTTCCTTTTCTTTTTTTTTTCTCTTTTTTGTTCTTCAACCCCCTCCACCCCCAGTCTCCCTCTAACAACAAAAATTCAATACGAATTTTTCAATATTATTTTTGATAGATAATTACATTTATTTTTAAGGTTGACTTTAGTATTATTAGGAAATATATTTACCGATAATAATGTTTTAAGTATTGAATATAAATTAAAGAGGAAAATAGGATGATAAGATGATAGAAATAATTGTAAATGTGTCGGTGTAATATTAAAAAAAAAAAAACAAAAAAGAAAGAGAGAGAAACACAAGCATCGAAAATTAAAGCAAAGATCATCGTAAATTATTTTGTTAATAATA